ATCCAACTGTAAGGATTGTAACTATGGATAACACTGGGAATTCTAAACCCTTCCTCGCGCTCATACGGAACCTGCACACAGCTTGAGAAGCAGTCTCTTGAATCCAATAAAGGGATAGCTCATGCTTTAAAGTCAGGGAAGGGTGACTCACGGTTGTATCCTTTCATTCTACGTGTTTACTCTGGATGCTGACAAATAACCTGAGCCGCTGGACTGTGTGAACAATCATGTGGCATCGAGGTTGGAGGAAGACCGATGAGCAGCCTGCTGTAGGCAGGTGACCCAGCCTTACTTGCTGGATGCCAAGAAGATGTGAAGCACTTACTGTGAAGATGAAAGACTGGAACCTTCCCTGTGGGTTACACTTCAACAGAAAGAAAACAAAAAACCCTTACGACCAGTGAGCAGCGTCATGATAAAGGGAGAAAGGAATGAGGTTGTCAAGGAGTCCCTCTTACCTGAATCTATAATCCACACCCATGCAAGGGGCCGTCAAGAAACCAAGAGAACTATTGCATTGGGCGGCTATTCGGCAAGCCCTGGACTGTTCTTCTCAAACTGAAGGGTTCAAAGATGAGGCTGTCTGTCCTGGTTAAGATTTACAGCTGCAGAAGTATAGGGTACCTATACTTCAATCAACTTGATGGCAGCGGTGGATTCTACTGCAAAGGACGTCTAAAGTCTTAAGGAGCAGAGATGTCACGTGCCTGACCCAAGCCCGAGTTTGCAGTCACCTGACATGCAGCAGCTCCTTGGGAAAAAGGCTGGGCTTTCTACTCCTGGAAATAGTTACAGTCTCGGAAACCCACAAGGGGTCGCTCTGAGTCAGCCCTGACTCGGTGGCAGCGGATATGCATGTGGGAGCCCTGGTGGAGTAGTGGTTGCCAATTGGGCTACTAACTGCAAGGTCTGCAGTTTGAAACCCCGAGCAGCGCTGTGGGAGAAAGACAGGGCTTTCTACTCTAGCAAAGAGTTAACGTCTCGGCTACTCACGGGGCAGTTCCTCTCTGTCTTACAGGGTTACTCTGAGTTGGCATCGACTCAGTGGCAGTGAGCTTGTCTATCTGTTTTGAATATGCGTGTGATGAATTAATGAGTAAGACCAAAGAGTGCTTAATGGCTTTGAATGATGGTGTTGGTGAGAATATTTACAATACCGTGGACTGTCAGAAGATCTAGCAAACCTGTGTTGGAAGTAGCACCCTCAGGATGCTCCTTCTAAGGGGCAATGACCAGATGTTGTTCATGTAATTTGGCCATCTTATCAGGAGGGGCCCGTCCGGGGAGAAGGATCTTGTGCTCGGTAGAGTAGCACATCAGTGAAAGCAAGGATGTCCGTCGTGGAGATGGATTTGGATAGTGGCCACAACCATGGGCTTGAGTGTAGCAACACCTGTGAAGTGGGACATGACAGGCAGTGTTGTGTTCAGTCGCACCCAGGGTGGCATTGAGCTAGTTATGGGCTTGCCAGTACCCACTAATGACATACTGCAAGGGAAGTTTAAATTTTACCTAAAACTGGGTATGTACTCCGATCTTGGTATGCATGTGTTGTTGTATGTTGTGTGTGTCAGTGTAGGCACACATGGATAAGTAAGACTGATAAGCATATGTGTGTATGTACGTGTGTGCACACAACATCCACATGTATATGTGTACGTGCAAATATGTTCTCTGAGAAGAAACTTGGCTCCTTTCATTTATGACTTTCTTGCTGATAAAAACCATCAGGTTGGAGTTGAGAACAAAAATGAAGAAATTAGAATATTTGGTTCTAAATACCTTTTAAGTTCTGAAAATCGGTGGACTTTTTCTTTTTTAACACAAGGGCAATAAATATAAATAAACCAAAAATCCCAAACTCACTGCCATTGAGCCCATTCTGACTCATAGTGACCCTACAGGACATGGTGGAACGGTCCCTGTGGTTTCTTTTCTTTTTTTTTTTTTTTTAACATTTTATTAGGGGCTCATACAACTCTTATCCCAATCCATACACACATCAATTGTGTAAGGCGCATTTGTACATCGCTGGTGCCCTTCTGGCACAGCTGCACTCTCACGTCCCATGCCTGTGTGCCCTGCTCTTCATTGGAGCCTGACACTTTTGTGAGTCTCTTGCCTTTAACTCTCGCCTCCCTGTGTCCTCCAGGCTGCCCAAAGCCCTCTCAGCCTTCTGACTATCTCATCCACAAGAGTAGGTCCCTGGCTGGGACCTACTTTGCTCTCTGCTGCTCTCTACTGCTAACAGAGCAGCTGCCAGTTGGACCCTTGAGTAGCACTGCCGCGGAAGAAAGGCCCGAGGACCTACGTGCGTCCAGCGGAAAGCCCCAAGGACATCCTGTGGGTTCTCCTCAGCG